TCTTATATGTTGCGCGTGTGTGTGGGAGTGCATGCGTTGTTAATTGTGATATTAATGTATGTAGACACAACTTCAAGACACAACTGTAAGCCATGTATGTAGAGAGAGAAAAAATCTTAAAATATCGGTACAAGAATATACAGCGCGTTAACGACTGCACTATAAACCATCTTAAGTTGATTTGTACTGTAAAAAAAAAACTTGTGTCAGTACCGACCTTCTCTTGAATTTCTCATTACTTAGGAGAATAACCAACATTAAGAGAAAGGAATAAGACTACAAAGTTTTAATGTAAAAATCAAAAATAGTGATCAGGCATGTGACCCAGATTTAGGTCAGTACTCTCGTCTTTGTCCTGGATAACTACGTAGGTTTATTGTCAAGAACTTCACCATTTGTTGTCTTTCGTGTCGAATATTATCAGCTCTTCTTCTATTGCGAAGTATACTCTCAGGAATCAGCCGAAATTCGTTAACTATTCTTTTTCAAAAGGTTAAATTCAACCCATAGAGTGAGAAAACAATGACAAAAGGCCTAATAGGTACCTTGTAAAGCAGGAACAGGCAGTCTATAGTTGCCCGTTAGGATCACCTTCATTAGCTTGCGGCAGAGTTTTCTGTTTTTCTTTGGAGTAGCAGGCTTCAGTTTGCTACTATTATTATAACGGACATTATTTCATCTATACCCATCATTGCAAATAACGCCCCCCTCTCTCTCTCTCCCTCTCCCTCTATTATCATTGTCATTATCATAATTGTTGTTATCATTAATATTGTCTTTATTATTGTTGTTGTTGCTGTCATCTTTATCATCATCATCATTATCACTGAAGTATCGGGACTCTTAAATGGTATGTACTGTTATGAAGATGTAATACTCGAATAATGTTATGTTAACCCATGTTATGTAAATGTAAATGTAATTATTTGGGATTATGTTACTGGTGAGTGGGTGACGGTAAATATGCCAAGGAAACTTTTATTTTCTTTTTTTCATTTTAGTCCATAGCCTGGGGATTGTTAAGGTGACTCATGAGTCTTGATAGTGAAGATGCAATATTGCAGAAGTGTCCATGACATATCCGTGTGCGTCTATACTTTGTATGAATCACAGTATAATTCTTGTGCATTAAAAGAACTACATATACGATTTTATGGTGTGTTTTATCATGTTTTCGAAATATAGTGTTTAGATAGCTTTTACAACAGACTTTCTGAGGAGCAAGACATGAACACATGAGCCTGTGATTAGTGGTTATTGTGTACGACTGTGAAAAACGTCTTAACAACACTTAGATTTTAAGACTGTCGGAAGATTTTCTTAAATCTATGTATTATTTTTTCTCTTTTTTTCAGGTGCTTCAAGATGTCGGTGTTTACGTGAAGAAAACATTCCTTTAGTTTTCCCTCTTTCTTTGTATAACTGTACTCGCACATACAAGGACGTACACATGGTGTGTGTGTGTGTGTGTGTGTGTGTGTGTGTGTGTGTGTGTGTGTGTGTGTGTGTGTGTGTGTGTGCGTGCGTGCGTGCGTGCGTGCGTGTGTTGACATGTTTGCATGTGAGTGTGCATGTGCGTATGTATATCTCTGCGTGCATGTATATTTATGTATATGTATATGTATATAAACATGTGTGTATGTGTATGTATTTATGTCTGTATATAGATAGGTAGGAGGTAGATTGTTACATATATAGACAAATAAATAGATAGACATGTATATAGAGGGCTGTGTGTGTGTATATATATATATATATACACACACACCTGTATGTAGGTGTAAATATGTAAATATACGTAAATGTGCATATATATATATATATACATATATATATATATATATATATATATATATGTATATATGCACACACGCAAACACGCGCGCGCGCGCACACACACACACACACACACACACACACACACACACACACACACACACACACACACACACACACACACACACACACATACACACACACACACACACACACACGCACGCACACGCACGCACGCACGCATGTCTGTCTATAGCTATCAATATATATATATATATATATATATATATATATATATATATATATATATATATATATATATTACATATATACATATATATTGGTATTTCTCTGGTCTGCTGTCAGGCAAGTAACGCAGAGTACGTGTATGTAACCCATTATTATTTTGCAGCCGTCATCCAAGGCTACGACTTTCTCATTACTTAGCATCGATGCATGATTCGGTGTATTTTTTAACATGCTATTACTCCTGTCGGATCATGAATTACTTCAAAGCGAAGCACATAGTAGCCTTGTCTCGCTATTTCGCCAAGTCTCAAGTACTATGGTCTGAAGTGAAAACAGAGACAGCGTTTTGGTCACTACTTTATGTCCGATCGAAGTTTCGGACACCGCGTCAGAGGGCCGTTCCGATCCAGTGGAGAATGTGGAGAGTTATTTTAAACATAAGCTGAACGTTATTTTCACCGTGTGATGGCGGAAA